ATTGGTTTTACATTCCTCGAAATTGCTTGTAACAATGCGGTGAAAAATTATAGGCTCAGTGCATGCGCTCGAGGAGCATAAGGCTAGGGTGGAGGAAGAGCGACAGAGGAGCGGAGGCCGAGCGGCGACAGAGGTGGGAAGCCGGGCGGGCGAGGTTTGACGCCTTGGCTCAGTACGTGGCAAGTCTTGGCGTCATGATGGGTCGTCCAGCGCCACTAGAGCTGTTCGCTCCTCCACCGCCTTACCCATACCCACCTTACTCATACGTGAGTTCAACTTCTCTAACAAAAGCTCTTTCTCAGACATGTTGGCCATCGTGCCGTTGATGTGATGGGAGGCCTTCGTGCCATTGGTATATATGTGTGCCGCCATCGTGCGTTGATTGATATGGTGGTGCGCCATCGTGCGCGTTGGTTTTCTTGCAGTTTTTGGAAACCCCACCGCAGGGAGGGAAGTGTCTTAAAATTTTGATGTGTCTTGGCTTAGATTACAATTTTATACCTAGTTCTGCAAATTTTGACTTGTCTACGCTTAGATTACAATTATATGCCTTAGTATTACTATAATTACTAATTTTTATTCTACTTTGTGCAGAATCAATCGACGGGTTCAAATGATGTGCTTGAGCAGCCGTCGTCGGGAGGGTCGTGGCACCAACCGTATCCACAACTTCCGCCGCATCAGCAGCCGTCGGGAGGGTCGGGGTACCAGCCGTATCCACACCTTCCGCCGCAGCAGCAGCCGCCGTCAGGAGGGTGGGAGCCTTGGGGGTGAGCCTGTTGTTCTTCATCATGTATTAGCACTTTGTGACATGAACTTGTGTGAGATGAACTTAGCACTTTGAGATGGACATGTGTCGTTGGATTTGAGATGTTTAGATGGATTATAATGTGAGACATATGATGTGGATAACATATTTGTGATATATGTGATGTAGATGATGTGTTATATTTGTGAAATATGTGTTGTTGAAGCTGGAAATATAAACAAAAATAAAAAAATGCTCTCAAAAACAAAAAAAAATGCTCTCTGGACTCTTTGCCGAGAGTAGGGCTCTCGGCAAATCTGCCTCTTTGCCGAGAGCTTGGTGGTCGGCTCTCGGCAAATATTCCTCTTTGCCGAGAGCTTGGTGGTCGACTCTCGGCAAATATGACTCTTTGCCGAGAGCTTGATGGTCGGCTCTCGGCAAACCTATATTTTTTTTGAACACCGCCTCTGGCGCAAATCTTTTTTTTAACAATTCTTTGCCGAAGGTCGCTCTCGGCAAAGAAGTTCTTTGCCGATGGTCGCTCTCGATCAAGAAGCTGTCACCGTTAGCGGCCGTTTGGGCGTTACCAGGGCGCGCCAGTTTGCCGAGAGCTAGAGTTTGCCGAGAGTCTTGAGATTACTCTCGGTAAATATTTTGCCGAGAGGGGCTCTCGGCAAAGAATCCTTTGCCGGTAGATATTTTGCCGACGGTTCTTTGCCGAGAGCTGCTCTCGGCAAATAGTTTGCCGAGCGTCAACTCGTCTTTGCCGAGAGCTTCGGGCTCTCGGCAAAGGCCGGGAGTCCGGTAGTGCATGTTTAAAGTCAGTTCATTTTCTAAGACGACGACCTCACGTGCATATATCCTTACCTGCGAGCTCACGTTTGATTCTTAATGGTCTGCCTTGGTAATGATGTAGCAATTTTTAGAGGTGGTTTTTCTAAGAGTGCCATCCGTGAAAATCATTAACAGAGGTAGCACTCTCAAGAGGCTCGTCTTCAGAAATACTCCCTCTATCACTAAATAAATATATTTCTAGAGTTGTCTTAAGTTAAACTTTTTAAACTTTGTCGGAGTTTCTTGAAAAAATGTTACTCAATCCATCCCAAATTGTAAGACGTTTGACTTTTTTGACACCAAGTTTGACCACTCGTCTTATTCAAAAATTTGTGTAAAATATCACTTCTTTCGTCGTGGTTTGGTTTATTAATAAAAATTCTTCAAGAATGACTTAAATTTGACTATATTTGCATAAATTTTTTGAATAAGACGAGTGGTCAAACTTGAGGCAAAAAAGTCAAACGTCTTACAATTTGGGATGGAGGGAGTAAGACTTATGGTATTAAATTAGTATCATTAGATTTATTATAGAATATATTTTCATGAGGTGCTCGTTTTATGACATAGATGTTGTTTTTTCTATAAAGTTAGTCAAACTTAAAAAAATGACTGACACGGATTCTAGAAATTGATTTATCTGGGGACGAAGGGAGTAGTTATCTTAAAAAAATTATAATTTTTTCATGAAGTCAGATGATGACAAATTTTGTACTAATATTGTAGAGCTCGACACGATGTATGACTTTGTAATTGGCAAGTTCTTTATTCGAAACTATTTAGAGGCCCAAAATTTTGTTTTAAGTTCTTAAATTGTGAAATTTAAAATTTAGTTTTTTCAAACAACCTCGGACGTTAACATGGTCTATACTAAATATGTATTTCACAATGTGATCTACAAATCTGAAGTTGATAAATTTATGATCTAAAGTTGTTTAGAGTCACAAATATATGTTTTAAGTTATCAACTTTGAAATTCAAATTTTAGAATTTACAAACAACTTTGGATGTTGACATGGTCAATACTAAAATTATAGTGGTTAATTTTGGATTTGAGATTGTATAAAATGTCACATATTCATTTTAAGTTATTGGATTTTGAGATTTATATTTTCAAACAATCTCAGATGGAAACACCTGACACCAAAAGTTGTAGTGCTCGACAAAACCTGAAACTTTGTAGTTGAACTATATTTTCATTCGTGATCGTTCAGAAACCAAAATATTTAACATAAGATTATTAAATGATAATACAAAAGGATAAAATCTTATACTCACTAGTGTGTAGTAATGTGGTAAGAAGTTACGCGAGAAGAGGTCATGAGTTTGAACCATAGGAAGCACACGTGCATGTATTTCGAAAGGAAAAAAACATGATTTAGGACGCTGCCTATTTAGGGTTTAGAAAAATGCTTTGCTATTTTTTGGCAGTTTTTTAAGTCATTTATAGAGATAGGAGCGGGTGGCTAGTCGACGGCCTCTTTAAATAATACTCCCTCCGTCTACAAATAAATCAATTCCAAGAATTCGTGCAAGTCAAACAATCTTAAGTTTGACTAATTTTATATGAAAGAGTAACAACATCTATGACATAAAATGAGTACATTATAAAAATATATTTTATGATATATCTAATGATACTAATTTTATGTCATAAATCTTGACGGACTTTTCTAGAAATTCGGTCAAAGTTTAAAAAGTTTGACTTAAGACGACTCTAGAAAAATCTATTTATTCAAGAACGGAGGGAGTACATTAACATAGATCATTTAGCATTGCTTGTCTCTGAAAATTGAAAACATCTACTCCCTCGGCACCAAAATAGATGACACTTTTGACTTTTAGATATCATGTTTGACCATTTATTTTATTCTTTTGTTTTTACAAATAATAAAATCAATAAGTCATTGTTAAAGTATCTCTAATGATAAAATAAATCAAACAAAATAAATAATATTTATACAAAAAATTTGAATTTATACAAACAATCAAACAAAATGTCTAAAAGTAAAAAACGTCATGTATTTTAGGACGGAGAGAAAATATTTTGTGTAGTACGACTAATTAATTTTTAATTGAAAATGCTTTGATTTTTTTTTTCTTTCAGCATATAGCAGATGCTGGGAATGGCGTTTCCAAGCATACTGAGGCCCTGTTTGGTTGGGCTTTTGGCTTTGGCTTTTGGCCCCAAAAGCCAAAAGCTCAACCAAAGGGGCTGTTTTTGGAGGGTGCTTTTTCAGAAGCAGCTGCTTTTCCGTAGTTCATTTTTGAAAGCAGGGTTGACCCTGCTTTTGGCTTTTGGCTTTTGGCTTTCTGCTTTTTCAAAATTGGTGGAATAAAAAGCTCTTTCATAGTTGTTTCAAGAGAGATAAAGATAAAAGGTATATTTTATACTTGTTTAACCAAACAGCTTTCAGTTTTTCTACTACACTCACAATATTTTGTGTAGTAGCTTTTCCATAGCATAGCTCACAAATGCACAATGAGCTTTTTTCCAGCATACAGCTCAACCAAACAGGGCCTGATGCGCGTACAGAGAGAATGACACGAGACAAGCAAGGACACAAGCACATCTTGTTCGCCTAACTGAGACGTACCCCTATATAAGAGCCCTCAGTTTCTCTCTTCTCCTCCAGAGGTTAAAAAACGTCATGTATTTTAGGACGGAGAGAAAATATTTTGTGTAGTAGGATTAATTAATTTTTAATTGAAAATGCTTTGATTTTTTTTTCAGCATATAGCAGATGCTGGGAATGGCGTTTCCAAGCATACTGATGCGTGTACAGAGAGAATGACACGAGACAAGCAAGGACACAAGCACATCTTGTTGACTAGTGATGGCGCATGCGCCTAACTGAGACGTACCCCTATATAAGAGCCCTCAATTTCTCTCTTCTCCTCCAGAGGTTAAAAAACGTCATGTATTTTTAGGACGGAGAGAAAATATTTTGTGTAGTACGACTAATTAATTTTTAATTGAAAATGCTTTGATTTTTTTCTTTCTTTCAGCATATAGCAGATGCTGGGAATGGCGTTTCCAAGCATACTGATGCGCGTACAGAGAGAATGACACGAGACAAGCAAGGACACAAGGACATCTTGTTGACTAGTGATGGCGCATGCGCCTAACTGAGACGTACCCCTATATAAGAGCCCTCAGTTTCTCTCTTTTCCTCCAGATCAGGTTCAGTCAGAGAGCCTACCGCCTAAACGGCCTGAAAACGAGGCCAAAGGCTAGCTAGCTAAGGTAGCTTGGCCACAAGAGCCGTGAGCCAAAGTCAATTCTCTTTTATACTCTATTATTATTGCCCATCAGGCCATCACGATTCACAAAACCCGCAACAGGGGCAGGGTTACAAGCGAGACACGGCGCGGCGAGTGCGGCGGGGTGGCAGCGACGACGACCTCGCCGGCGGACATGGGTAAGGACGACGGGCCGCCGCAGGCGGCGGCCAAGGCCAAGAATTCGGCGCCGGTGATGCGGTCGTTCGCGTCGGTGTTCATGCATGCGGACGCCGCGGACGTGGTGCTCATGGTGCTCGGCCTGGTGGGCGCCATGGGCGGCGGCATGTCCACGCCCGTCATGCTCTTGATCACCAGCCGCATCTTCAACGACCTCGGCAACGGGCCGGACCTCCTCGATGAGTTCAGCTCCAAGGTCAACGAGGTAGATGTCTCTCTCGCCTCCAGGTTGATTCTGGCCAGTGTCATAGCAAAAGCTGACGTCGTTTCCTCTCCTTCTCGGCTACCAGAACGCGCGGAACCTCGTCTTCTTGGCGCTCGGCAGAATGGTCATGGCGTTCCTAGGTGAGCCGGCGCTGCACACGCATGGATGGGTGCCAATGCCGCCGCTGGCGGTTTGCTTGCTTGCGCGCCCACCGTACGTGCTAGCTGATAATCGTTGTGCCGTCGTTGGCATATATGCACGCAGAGGGGTACTGCTGGGCGCGCACGGCGGAGCGGCAGGCGTCGCGGATGCGGGAGCTGTACCTGCGGGCGGTGCTCCGGCAGGACGTGGAGTACTTCGACCTCAAGGTGGGGTCCACGTCGGAGGTGATCACCAGCGTCTCCAACGACAGCCTCGTGGTGCAGGACGTGCTGAGCGAGAAGGTGCCCAACTTCGTGATGAACTGCTCCATGTTCCTGGGCAGCTACGCCGTCGGGTTCGCGCTGCTGTGGCACCTCACGCTGGTGGCGCTGCCGTCCGTGCTGCTGCTCATCATCCCTGGGTTCATGTACGGCCGCATCCTCATCGGCCTCGCGCGCCGGATCAGGGAGCAGTACACCCGTCCCGGCGCCATCGCTGAGCAGGCCGTCTCGTCCGTGCGCACCGTCTACTCGTTCGTAGCCGAGCACACCACCATGGCGCAGTTCTCCGCCGCGCTCGAGGAGTCGGCGAGGCTCGGGATCAAGCAGGGACTCGCCAAGGGCGTCGCCATCGGCAGCAACGGCATCACCTTCACCATCTGGGCGTTCAACGTCTGGTACGGCAGCCGCCTCGTCATGTACCACGGATACCATGGCGGCACCGTCTTCGCCGTCTCCGCTGCCATTGTCGTCGGTGGCCTGTACGTAACCGTGATTTTATCATCAGTCTGCTCTGCTGCATGTTACTCCTAGTCCTAGATGATGATGTGATGACGGCGCCATTAACGAAACCATGCAGAGGTCTGGGGTCCGGGCTGTCGAACGTCAAGTACTTCTCCGAGGCGAGCTCGGCGGCGGAGAGGGTCCAGGAGGTGATCCAGCGGGTGCCCAAGATCGACTCGGAGAGCAGCGCCGGCGACGAGCTGGCCAACGTCGCCGGGGAGGTGGAATTCAAGAACGTGGAGTTCTGCTACCCGTCGCGGCCGGAGACCCCGATCTTTGTGAGCTTCAACCTGCACGTGCCGGTGGGGCGCACGGTGGCGATGGTGGGCGGCAGCGGGTCCGGGAAGTCGACGGTGATCGCGCTGCTGGAGCGGTTCTACGACCCGGCGGCTGGGGAGGTGACCGTGGACGGCGTGGACATCCGGCGGCTGCGGCTCAAGTGGCTGCGCGCGCAGATGGGGCTCGTCAGCCAGGAGCCGGCGCTGTTCGCGACGTCGATCCGGGAAAACATCCTGTTCGGCAAGGAGGACGCCACGGAGGAGGAGGTCGTCGCGGCGGCGAAGGCGGCCAACGCCCACAACTTCATCTCCCAGTTGCCGCAGGGCTACAACACGCAGGCAAGCTATTTACCACACCACTTTTGCAACTGGTGTATGCATGCAGTCGTTTGGTTCGCAACGCTTTTCTTACCCTTGCAAGTCACTGTTAAGTTTTTTCTCGGAAATGTCTAGTCAACAACTGGTTGTTTTAGCCCCTCCTATCGATCAAATTTTTCTCATATACTTACATTGTCTTATAGCTATGTTTACACTGCCTTATTACTATATTTACAATGATCTCTTCAGTGTAATTTATTGGAAAGAGTGGTGTAATTTGGGAATAACGTAAATATATGCCAAATTTTTCAAAAAGATTTACAAATTATTTCTATGAATTCCACACATTAGAGAAATATATATCAAATTATTCACAAATTCTTCAGAAATTAAAATAAATAAATAAAATCCACACAAGGAGGTGAGAGACACTACGGGATACATGAGCTTTGCCGCCCCAAAAACACTCGACAAAGCGTTACACTCGGCAAACAACACTCGGCGTAGGTTTTAACGGCAAAGAGCTGTTTGCCGAGTGTTAATCGTCGAGCACTCGGCAAAGACTATGCCGAGTGCCCAAAAAACACTCGGTAAACATCTTTTGGAAAAAAAACAAGTCGCCGGTGGCACCACCACGCCGCCGCCGCCGCCACCACCACCACCACCACCGCCACCAGCCACCACCACCACCAAAGCCGCCGCCGCCACCACCAACACCACCACCATAGCTGCCGGCCACCACCACCACCAAAGCCGCCGCCACCACCACAATGCCCCACTGCCGCCACCACCACCACCACCAAAGCCGCCGCCGCCACCACCACACCACGCCGCTCGCCGCCAGATCTGGCCGCCACCGGCCGGATCCGGGAGAGGGAGGGCCGGATCCGACCGGGAGAAGAAGAAGGGGAGGGGAGGGCCCGCCGCCAGATCCGGCCGGGTGAAGAAGAAGGAGGGAGGGCACCGGTGGGGGAGAAGAAGGGGGGGAGGGCGCCCGGGGAGGGAAGAAGAAGGGGAGGGGGGGGCGGTGGGGAAAGAAGGAGGGGGGCACCACCGGGAAGAAGAAGAGGAGGGGGCCAGGGGGAAGAAGGGAGGAGGAGGGGCACCAGGGGGGGAAGAAGAAGGGGAGGGAGGGGTGCCGGTGGGGGAAGAAGAAGGGAGGGGGGGCTCCCACGAGGAAGAAGAAGGGGGGGAGGGCTCTCGCGAGGAAGAAGAAGGGGAGGGGAGGGGCGGCAACAAGGCGGCAGGAGGAGGAGGCGTTGGGGCGGGAGGGAGGGGCGCTGGGGAAGAAGGGAGGGAGGGGTGCCCGCGGGGAGAAGATGGGGAGGGGTGGGGGCGCAAGGCGGGCGGGCGGGGAGAGAGGGGGCGCCTGGGCCGGGGGGGAGCGGCAGGGGAAGAAGAAGGACGGGGTGCTCGGGAGGGGCGCTGGGGCCGGTTAATTAAGTAGGATTTTGTCCTTTGCCGAGTGTCCTAGATCTGGGCACTCGGCAAAGTTGTTTTTTCATTTTTTTTTCTTCTCCTTGTTTCCCAGAAAAAAGATTTTATTTCTTTGCCGAGTGCAAAAAAAAAAATACTCGGCAAACACCCTCTTTGCCGAGTGTTTTTTTTGACACTCGGCAAACCCATTCTTTGCTGAGTGTTTTTTTTGCCGAGTGTTTTTAGCGTAGCACTCAGCAAAGAACTTGTTCGCCGAGTGCCCGAGGGAATACACTTGGCAAACATAAAAACACTCGGTAAATTTGACGTTTCCGGTAGTGAGAGGAGAGATTGTCGCAGGGTGTTTCGTGCTCGCTTTCGTGTGTCAGTCAGGGACACAGGCACCGGCATGATTGCTTGCTTGACGCTGAAGCCGAGCGGACGCACGCACAGGGACGCATCGCACACACGCACGCACCAGCATGATCGTAGGCGGGGGGAGACCGACGCTTCCGCATCGCACGACCCAAAAAACGATTGATAACAGCCGGCAAATCAACCGGTTGATCATTAACCTTTCTGTTTTTCTTCCCCAAAAGAGACAATGCTTGCTTTTTTGTGCACACTAGTAGTACTATAAGAATGCCTAAATGTCGCATGGAATTTATGCTCTAATTTTTCCATAATTTTTTCTTGTTTTTCATGGAGTACTGACGTGTTTAGGTCCACCACATATAGAACGGACTACGGAGTATTCGAAATTTTAGTGAAAAGAGTAATCATGATATTCTTTTCTCCTTTTTTTTAATGAAAAAATTCTGGATCAATTTGTGAAAGTGGGGGTAAAGCTGACATGGGAGACAACTCAAAAGCCAGAAAAAGCAAATCAATTACTCAACAACATTCGAAAAATAGAAAGTGCAGTCGAAGGCTAAACTGCTTCAAGAACTAAACTAAAACAAACATGCCCCAACAAACAAATTTTCACTATATAATTCAGCATGCATGGTTAGGTGACCAGTACATGTGGCTTTGGGATCCCAACTCGTCACTAACTCCATTATTTTAGTCTTTGGTCAATTGTGCATCTTTTACATGCTGATCCAAAGGAACTCCTAATTATTCAAAGAAATAGAAAATTTGAAACAAAGGTAGGCTAGGAGTAGAGGTTTGCTTTGGAAGCAAGAGCTTTTGTTTCTAGTGTAGTACTGCTCCCCATTATCTGGAAGCAACACAACCTAGTCCACTACTCCATCAGTTTATTCTAGTGCTGGCTATGCTCTATAGCTGGCTAGCTGCTGGCTTGCTAGCTAGGCGTCGCATCGCTGGCTTAGGACATGGGTCATTGGGTCCTGCCTCCTGTGCCTTCAAAGAAATCTGAGTGCTCTCTGCACCGAGCTCCCAGGAAATCTCTGCCCACTGGAAATTGTTGAACTATCACAGTGAAAATAATCAGTTGAACAAAGTGAATCTCTTGGTTGAAACATCCTTAATTTTCCACGAAGAGAAAATCCACAGAATGAATTATAATATGATGAAACCAATAGTTGATTCCGTCATATTATCATATATCAGTCGATATCGCTGTCATACTTCGTAAGATTACAAGATAAAAGGTATTACATCACAGAGGAACACACCTATTACAGAGTTAATCTAGCGGAAGTCTATCGAGTGAAGGCTCCTCCTTCACGGGCATCATCAGAGTTGACGTAGTGCAGCGTAGATTCCATCTCCGAACCAAACTTGAGCGTAGGCACGAGACCTCCTAATCCTTCTATAGTCAGCATCTCTGAGAAGCAGGAAATCTGCACACCGCCAGATGTGTGCAGTCCATGATCAGCACCGATGAGCTTTAGTGGAAAAGATAAAACAAGAGGATCTGGCGATCCTAACATTTGGCTATGGTTTGCATCCTTAGCGCATGAGAAGTAAGTAACAGTAGTAATGTAATAATAATGTCCAGTTTTTAACACATTCCCAGCCACACACATCCACATCCATCCATATCCATCCTCCAACCATCCATCCCAATCCATCTCCACACCACACACCTTATCTCATCTCACACACTCAGGTCGACAGGCCAACTCCCTCTCGGCCTTGTCTCAACGGCCCGCAGCCCCTGGCTCACGGCCGGTAAATACCCCAAACCCTGGAGGGAGAATAGAAGAACTCATCTCCTATCTAGTTTAAGCGAAACCCAGGAAAGGTCCATAGCCGACAAGTCGGCATATGTATCGATCGATCAACCAAACACTCTGCAGAGGTTTTACATACCCACAAGATAGCCATCCTCGATGGTGCCCCGTCTAGGCAAATTCCGGCCACTTGCTAGCCTAGAACGATGCCACCCTACCTCTCAGCCCTGAAACATCCCAAGTCTAGTCTGGGATGGCTGATGATCAGTGAGTCGAGAGATGCAGCCGGGGCCCACCGGATGTCAAGAGCCGGTCCACAAGGCCTCCTGAAGTCTCGGAAGGGTGTGGGGGAAAACCGCGCACCCCGTACCTCCTTGCACACGTTCGCCTAGCAGTAGTGGCATCGCTCTACCAAGTAGTCCGACCGTCCCCGCACCATATATATAGGCGAGTGGGATGTAAAGGATTCTCGGTGAATCTGAGTACTAGTAAGTCCTTAGGGGTGACCAAGCCGAATGTCTTCATCGGGTTTCCATTTTACGTGCCACCACAAAGACCTCTACCCCGGCTCCACCTCTTCGAGGTTCACACCCAAGGCCACCTCCAATTACCATTTACCCGCCACAGGTATTCCATATCCAAGTGCCTAGGTAGCACCACATGGCAAGACTCGCCCCAGGCTCGTCGTTATTCCAGCTCGGTCGACACAACCCTCACTCTCCACGCACCTAAGACACACGCAGCACGCTCACACACCACCAGTCTGGCACCCATAGCCAAACCATTCCTAGGGGGTTCACCACCAGCATCACATCCTCGATATAATGCGAAGTGGAGTTAATAATAAGTATAGTGGTGTAATATGCAAGCAAGCAGGCAAGTAAGCATATATAAGCGAGCGAATGCGCAAAGCAAGGTGACGTGGTAGAGTGGGTTGCATCAGGGTAATAATAACTCAGGTAGTAGTATGCATCAAAGTACTAGCAAAGGAATAATTTATAAAGCGCTAACAGTTCTAGATTTTATGCAATGTCTAATAGGATTTTCTAAAAGAGGGTGCTGCCATGACACGTGCGATGTAGAGGTAGTAGTGGTACAATTCTCCATTCATTGGCGTTCCATTAGCGGGGTCTCCTCCTCCTGTGTTGACTCCATTCCGCAGTCCTTGTCGTCGTCCACGTTCTCTTGGTCCGATCGTCAGCCACTCCGCGAAGCGATACGCAAGGCAAGAGATCACTCAACACTTGAAAAGACGACAAGACACAGGAAAATCCAATAACACCAGTGAGGCAATAAGAGATACACGGCTTAGCCCTCTCGGCGGTTGTCCGATTTCCTCGGGCCAAAGAATCACAAGTGGTGGTTTGCTGAGCACAGGCTTAAGTCATGGCCAAGCTAGTATGGCTTTACGATAAACGGTTTAAGCCAGAGCTTATCCAGAGCAAACATCACGGCTCACGATCT